GCAAGGCAAGAAAAAGACCCTGGGGAAGGACACAAAGCACCATATATTCAGAGGCAACAACAACTAATTTAATGCCTCTAAGATTAGAAAGATAACCAAACACTACACCACAGTCTAACTACGAAGGGTTCAAAGTTAAGATGGACAAAAAAAAATTGAAGGCAGCTCAGATGAAGTTTTTTGGAATGGACATGTCAAATCTGGAGGAGGCTAATGTTGGGAAAAGTCCTTGGTACAAACTTCCGGAAAGAAAAGGAGGGGGAAAGGGTTTACAACATGCAGGACTCCACAAGGCTTTTCAAAAAGAATATTGGCAGAATGGATGAGCAATTGAGTTATAAATCACCTGACTCTAAGAAATCTCCAGATGGGTGCCTGCCAACTAATTTCCCTTTTCTCTGGAAAGCCAATGGATAGGTAGGAAAATGCAAAAAGAGAAGAAAACCTAAGAACCACGTGTCCTGGAAAAGTAGATTTTGAAAATGCCAGAACTCTCAGAGGAGACCCAAAAAATAACAAAGGAGCCCTGCTCAAAAAGAATAGGCCCCTAGAACTAGGCACGTTGTAGAAGAGGCCCTTCTGGAGTCCTTTTACCCAGCATCCTCCTCTCTCAAAGGAAACCTGATTAACAATGGGGCTGGCGCTAGTTTATGATATGACCATGCCTAGTCTCCTAATTCCTGTCCCCCAAAGCAGAAAAAAAAAATCACTTCTTTTGTGTTATCCATAAGTAGCAAGTTCATCCTAAACCAACAACAATAATAATATAGTGATGGTAATAAAAATACCCGAAGCATTTGTTACAGGGCTAGTTAAACCTCTCATTGCTCTCTAAGTGCACCTACTCAGGTCTCAGGCCTTGTGTCTTCACCAATCCTTTCACTTGTAGACAGAGTCCTAGGCTGAAGTACCCTGTGGATCAACTGGGCTTACCCCAAAAAGGTCTGACTGGGTTCAGGTATCTGTGGTCCTTCCCTTTGGGAGCTGTGACCAGTGATAAATAAAGTGACTCAAAGCAGCCTTCTCAAACAAAAGCATTGTTTACTCTGAGCAACAGGAACAAAGCAAAACATAACAGAAAAAGGGTTTGAAAAACAATAAAAAGTCTATATAAATGTCTATTTTACCTACCCCTGCCTACTCACCATTCCCACCCCACGTAGGGAGCTTAGGAAGGCTGAGTTTCTTTAGACCCCCAAGTGGGTGTCTCTGGTTGTCAGTCTGTTCCCTGTGTTCAGCTCCCAAGTGACTGCCTCCTCTCCAGATAGAGAGAGACTTTTTAACTGTTTGTTGTTCTTTTGATCTGTTGGTTCCCAACACTGGTAAAACAAATTGTGTAACCTGGATGGAGACAGGGAGTTCACTTCAGATCTTCCCAGTTAATAGTTCAGGCATTGACTCTTAACTCTCTCCCCCGAAAATACTTACCTAGAGGGGTCTTATCTGGAGCCACTGTCTTGTTCTCCTGCTTCTTTTTCCAACAGCCTGCTTTTAAACTAAACCTACATATTATATAGTAAATATCCCAATAACTAGGTATTCACAAACTATTACGGAGCAGCTCCGCATACTTCACATTAAGTTAGTCTCTCCTTTGGATTTTCCTTCTCTTTGTCTTTTAGACTGTAATCTTTTGGGGGGCAGGGTCTATCTTTATCTTTGCATTTTGTACAGCAAGAAGAAATAAGCCAAATAATAATAATAGAGAATATAAAAATACTAATACAAATAAAAACCTGGCTCACAGAAGACCAGCTGGGTTACAAAATAAATAACACCACAAATAGACTCACCTCTTCACCATCCCTCTAGCCTTAGTACTCCTGGACCAAGGCAAGGAAAGATGACAAAAGAAGACATTATCTCTATCCTCCAACATAGGGAAGGACTGTGCTGAAGTATGAAGGTTTCTCCTCGAATAAAGCAGACTAGAAAACTAGGTCTAAAATTCTGCTCTGAGCCAGTGAGTAAATTTACACTTTAGATGTATTTATTTATTTATTTAACAAAATCAGATGTTGCCTCTGGTGCATGTACAGTAATTAAAATACATCAAATGACTAGACAACAAATTGATAAAAGTCAACTCAAAGAAGGAATCCAGCTACCCTAGTTATGGCAGAAACTTGTCCTACTCAGGTATACTCCCTGCGACAAAAGCCAGAATAAGTACATATATTATGTTTTATCTTCCTCCTGACCTTCAGAAAAAAATACCTCTATTCAAAAATTACTCAAGGGCACGGCTGTCTAGGAAAAAAAAAAACAGAGTAAACCTTTAGCTCCTGAAGAGATCCCCTTACATCAGAAATGTGGTCACTCCAACTCATGAACAGCCAAGTGGGATCCTTAAAACTGGACATTACTGCTACTCTTCACCCTTAGTGAGGCAAAAAAGGATCCAAAACTGGGGGCGGGGGAAGAGTACAACTACAGTAATTGGCATGAGGTCAGAGAAGTGACAAAGAAGTACAGATGGAATGACCCTCCACATAAAAACTGGTGTGATATGAGTAAAAAACAATTCACCTTATCACCACAATGATACAATAAACCTTTGGGTTGTGAGGTGGAGAGGTGGTTGGATGGTAAGAAGAATAGAAGACCATACACAAACTGATAAAACATTACCTCCCCCTCCCCACCCCAAAATATTACCTCTAACATGGAAACCCTCTAGAAATGAGAGTTTATTGTAAAGTTTCTGGGAAAATATTTTAACTGGTTACCTTCATGTGGATAACTCTCAATGCTGTATCTAAAGTGACTCACTCTCTTACATATCTAATCTCCTGTCTCCTTGCCTCCTATCTACTTTAATATCCTAAGACTGAACTGAATGTTTAAAAGACTAAAATCCTTCAAGGTAACAAGGTCTCTTTTGTCCTATGTTTCTAAATCCACTAACATTCTTCTCAGCTGAGCTCCTAACTTTGTTCATACTGGCAGAAATCTTGCAGTGGTCCTAAAATTCTCCACCTACATGGTCTACAAATGTCTATCACCATCTGTAGAAGGTTGCTAGAATTGTTCTTAGCTAACTCTGTCTATGCTAAATTAATTAGTTAAACAAAACCAAACTAAGACCACTTCAATTCTGTATGAATGTCCACACAGGGATTTAATGCAGTTTAAATTCACACCTTTAGTTTATCTGGATTAATTTTCCTGAGTATCCCTACATAGGCAAGCCCTTAAAATGCTGTGGCCAAAATACTCTTGTACTGCAAGTAGTTGGATCATACTGCTCCCAAACTTAGTCATACTCATCATTCACCTGTAAAGTTAAATTGTTCTCAGTAGTCTCAACCCAACCCCTAGCCCAGAGGTCCCCAAACTGTGGGGCACGCCATCCTAGAGGGGCACAAAGGAACATTGGGGGGGCAGGGCCCAGATCAGCCCCCACAGGGGATGGGGAGGGGAGCACCCACCCAGAAAGTTTGCTATTATCTATATAAAATGACTTAAGTACCATAAGAGAGAGACAAAGTAGGTGAGGTACTATTTTTACTGGACCAACTTTTGTTGTTGGAAAGGATAAGCTTTCGAGCTTCACAGAGCTATTCTTCAGGTCTGGGGAAGTTAACCAGAATGTCTAAGCTTAATACAAGTTGGGAAAGTTTGTTAAGTATAAGAAGTTCACTTATGCTACAGGAGATCACTTAAAATGAAGTGGGCAATTAAAAGTTAGCAGGCAGTAGGGTGTGTTACAAATTGTTGTAATGAGCCATAAAACCAGTGTCTTTGTTAAATCCATGGTTTTTAGTGTCTAGCAGAGTTATTAAATTAAGTTCCCAAGCTCAAGTTTTGAAGGTGTTGTGCAGTTTCCTTTGAGGATGAGGACTGAGAGGTCAGATATACAGCGATCACTTTGTGGAAAGCATTCGCCCACGGATGATAGGGTGTTTTGTCCTATATCATGTTTCTGTGTGAGTTCATTTGAAAGCGTAGTTATTGACTGGTTGTTGCTGGGTCATCTGATGCACTGGAGGAGTTATACTGCATATTGTGATAGACATGTATAAGACCCAGGGATCTTGAAGGGTGTGTTGTGGCGGTGGTGTATGGAACATTATAGCAGGATATATGTCTGCAGGTTTTGCATCTGTTGTTCTGAAAGGGTCTAGTGTCGCTTTGAGTTGGTGAGTCCTAGTTTGTGGGGAGCTTGCTTCTGATGATGAGCTTGGCAAAGCTGGGGAGTTGTTCGAAGGCCAGAAGAGGGGATTCAGGAAAGATTTGCAAGATGTGGTCCCTAGAAAGTATGGGTTGTATCTGTTTGATGATACCCCATTTGGGTTCTAGTGTGGGTGGTACAAACAGGGTTACCATTTGACAGTTGCTGTAGATAAACATGAGCTCAGAAAACATTCACACCATCTCTGATAGCAGGTAATACCTTGACACTGAATTCTGTACTCCCACAATTTTACCCTTCAATCAAACCTGTATGGGAGGAGGGGGAAAAAAATCACAAAAATAATCACTGTCTTTCGCAGCCCTCTCCCCAAAATCAGGAAAAGAGATACATTATCAGATATGTAATGTGACAATCTCTCTAAAATAATCTTCCCTATCCTCAAAAGCATTTTAAAACTAATGCAGGAACAAAACAAACATACCAGTTAATGTACGATGTATAACTTAGTGAGAAACACAATACACCCACTCAGCCTTTTTACTTGATGTGGTTGGAAACGTCTATGTAGGGTGGAAAAAGTAAAGGTAGGTTGATTTTATTTTTGGCATTAGTTTCAAAGTTTAGACTTTCTACACCAGTTATTTTACTCTATCTTTGTGTTGCTTCCAGCCAACAGCATAAAGCTGCTTTTTTAGACTAACTTTGGAAAACAAGAGATGTATTACCCCCAATTATTTCTCCACTGCACAGCACTTCCAAGCTACTGCCAGAATAGAATTCAATTCAAAATGCATGATGCAAAATAACCCACTCTCTCAATAGCATAGAAAAGCAAGTTAAATCTCAATATAATCAATAAAGCTCATTGCAACAAAAGTCTTTATTAAACACAGTCTTATTAGAGACCTGTTTGTGGAGCTCTAATTAGTCAAGGGTACAATGTATCACTATTTTAATATCTTAAGCAAAGATTATGAACCAGATTCAGAGGGAGATAAATAGTGTAAATTACAACCCTAGTAAGCAGGTGTAAGTTACATGCTGAGGGGGAAGAACAACAGGGTTTTAGCAGAAGTAGTAACTAATGAAAGGGTGCGTTAGGAACTGAGACGTAGGCAATCTTGCCTAGTGGTCAGAGCAGGAATTCAGGTCTAGTGGGTGGAGCAGGCAGGCCAGCAAACAGAAGTGGGGGTCAGACCAGAGTCAGCTGTCAATTACCAGAAGCAGGGGTAGAGCCAGAGTCATGGACCAGAACCAGGACTCAAAGCTGACGATCGGCACCAGGCTCAGACACCAATGCCAGAGCCAAGGGTTGAGCCAGACTCAGAGCCAGGGGTCAGAGCCAGAAATGATAGCCAATGATTACAAGCAAGGCCTCAGGGCAGGAACCAGAGGAGAGGCAAGGATCAGGGGCAAGGTGGGAGTTAGGAGCAGAGGGAAGCCAGGAGCAGACCAGGAACAGGGTTTGCAGATTGCAGTAGGCAGGCAAGAGCAGGGTCCAATGATGGTGGTGGTGATGGTAGTGGTGGTGCTCCAGCTGCTGCAGCAAGTCTTCACAGTTGATTGGACAGCCCACCTGAGTCACTTCCTGGCTTAAGTAACAGGAGTGAGCCAATCAGGCAGCTGCAGGCCTTGGGTGCTCCAACAGGACTTCCCATGGGGCCTGGTGTACCAGGACTGGAGAGATGTTGCTTTGTCCATCTTCCTTGGTGGCAAGCAGGACATGTCAGAGATCCAGGTCACCCACAGCCCAGGGTCTAGACCGGCACGCTTGGATCCTTACAGGGTGGAAGAAAGGGTAATATGAAGTGGATTCCAACCCCGTCCCAACACCCTCCTGTTGGCTGTTTTTTCAGCAGTATCCCTCCCTTCTGCTCTCGGAATACATGATACACACAGACTAACTGACCAGTGTGCACCACCATTTATGGGAGCACTGAACTTAAAGTTTGCCTACCTGTGCCAACTCTGGACCCATCTTAGGACAGTGCTTTTTAGGCATGAGTAGGAATAGATTGTAACTCCAGTACCCTGTGTGTGTATGTGCATGCATACATTGGGTGAAGGCATGAGCTGGTGTTTGTGGGGGGATGTTCTGATAAGTCTCTTAACTACTGAAGTTACATCAAGCAATCTCAGATTCTGAAGAGTATACATTTACTACAAAGCAAGGCAGGATGTCAAGGGTTGGCCAAAAAGGATCATGTGCCCTTGGTTCCATAGTGACTGAAGAAAAAACTAAAGGCCAAAAGTTCAGCCCTAAGTTAGGTCAGCTTCTGCCAAGGGCAGGAGACTCCCAGTGGTGGGAAGTCAGCAAGGAAAGGGGTTGCACTGACTCAAGTAATACGAAACCTCTGTTCTGCCAGAGGGTGGCGCTGACCAGCACTGCCCCAAAAGTTGGTGGCAGTGACCACTAAAGGACATGGCCCGCACATTCAAGGGATAAAAATGATTCAACTCATTCCCCAGGAAGCCTCTGCTGTAGCTCCATGCACAAGATTAAACTACATCTACATTCCAATCCACAAAATTAAGCTGCCTATACTTGTCAAAACTTCTGGAGAAGGGTTGCTTGCCTTCCCTTGGTGTGAATCACTGTTGGGCTCAGCAGTCATTGGACGTAGAGAGGATGCAATGCTCACACTATTCAGGGGTGAATCAATAGCTAAATGTAGGTTTAATTGGTACTAAAAGCTGATCATATTACTGATGAAGAATCTGCTGAATGTTTTCTTACCATCATATCATACCAATAAGGAATCAGCGTGAATACAGTGTCCTTTCATTAACATGAAGATGAAGGATCTACACACTGTCCTTTCAAGCTGAAACTGCAGCTCAAACACCATGTTAATCTTTTGCTGATAAGCACTGGAAAATAATTCACAGTGAGATGTCATTACAATCTGATTGTTTATTAGTTTAGTATATAATATTATGAGTATGAATTACCTTTTGTACTAAGTAGTCCTAAAACTGTATCATGTTCTTCCATCTATCATGGCAGCAATTTGTAGCTGCATTGCTATTACACACTTTCATTAAAAAAAAAAGTATTGTGTAAAGAGTGAATTCTAAAAGTGGCATGGAAGTAGGTGAAGTGCTATTAAAATCAGCAGTTCCATCAATAGTTCATATTGTTTTCATATCCTTCCCCATCCTCCAGCACTGTTCTTGAAAGAAGAATACAAAGAAGAAAAAAATGGAAGAAGGGTAGAAAAGATGGAAAGGAGGTACAAAAAAAGAAGGAATCCAGTATTTCCTTGCATTTATTTGTTGCTGTATTAAAACCTCTCAGATGAATTGTATAATCTTGTGCTTAACACCTGCACATGTGTTGACCGAAATGTACTTTATATGCCCATCATATCAAGAGCTTCCATATTAATAACTATTGAAGATTTCACTGTGTGTTTCCCCTGTATTTCAGGCAGCCTGGCATGCTTTCCAAGTTCCAGTAAAGAAAGGATAAATAAACTTCAGTACATGCCTAAGACACAATGATTTTTGTCTTGTTAGACCCTTCTGTTCCCCACCCAACTTAATTTACAGTAAGTTTGAAAAGGTCAGACTTGACACTGAATGCAATTGTGAGCACGAAAAACTCTAAATGAAATTGCCTGCAGCACAAAAATCAGCACACAGTTGATTTACTTCTTAGTTAAAAAACAAAAATAAACTCTGCACACAGCATATAGAAGGTGTCATGTAAAAATACAAACTTGGAATAATCCATTATTCCAACCACTTTACCCTTGGGAATCAGGTGCAGAAATAGCTATGCAGCAGTTATTCAGTGGTGATTAGTCACTGCATTAGTGCTGGGAAATCCAAACTTGCACATCAAAAAACAAACAAACAAACAAAATAAACCCCAAAAAACCAGCTATAAAAATACAATGGCCCCTATTCTCCCCTAAGCCTTTAGACAGAGCTCCTATAAACAACAATAGGAGTTCAAGATGCAGAGCAATAGTAGAACATGGCCTATTATGCCAAGGATTCTTGGAAGTAACTAAATGTTTAAACATACAGCCTCAGACTTAAAAAAAACCCCAACAACCCGCAATGATATTCCATGTGCAAATTTTAAATTATTAAACATTTTCACTTGACACTGACTTTAACATAACACCAAACTAGAGCAAATTAAGTTTTTATGCTGCTTTCAAGGAGTAGGATTAGAAACGGACAGGAAAAGATGCAAGATATGAAGTGAAGATAATATCATTTGAAATGCTCTTCACTCCCTTCAACATGGCTCTTTCCTTTAAAACAGTCTGATATAAAGAGACTTTTACAACTTTCCTCCTAACTATATGAAAACTGCTTATTACCCATGTGGTAACATTTTTTTTAAACACTCTCAAACTCTTTCCCAATGTCAATACTCCCCCTCCCCCAAGATGTAACAGCACAGGTCAACTTTGATTAACAAAGTAAATAAAAAATTGAGAAATGTATCACAGTTTGGTGCTGTAGAAGTGGAGTTGCAGTGGAACTGCAAAAGAATAGAGGCTTAGGAAGAAGTCACAAACATCAGAAAGATGAAATAAAGAAAAAATGAACAAGTTGTGAATACAGACTATTGCCTGGCCAGGACCTGGGGAAAATGAAAAATAAGCTGAAAAATAGAACACACACGTACTAAACTAGCATAGGTACAACTCATCTTAAAAAATCCCAGTCAGCAAAATTCTTCTTGTAATCTGCTCTGCACAGACGTTAGTTGAGATATCCGAGCCACATACTGGCCTTGTGCAGCAGTGTGGTAGAGATAGAGTTCTGACAACTCAAACTCTGAAAGAAGAAACAAACAGGCGAAGGGGCAAAATATCAAATGATTCTCTTGTCTGCTTCATTCCCTTCAATCAGACGTGCGACTCAAAAAAAAAATCCAATAAATCTGCAACTAAGTCCAGTATTCAATTTATTTATGTTTAATTTGTCTGCTAAGACCTTCACAGATATTAACAAGACAAGAGCCTCACCCCAAAGAACTTATATGGCTTCTTAAAGACTTATGAATCTTTTTATATGTGAATTGAGAAGGTTTTCACTAAGACAAAAACCTAAGAGGAGATTTTCAAAGGCACAAAGGACAGTTAGGTGACCGACTCCCGCTGAAAGTAAGTGAAGGTTAGGTGCCTAACTCTCATTTGTGTCTTTGAAAAATCTCTCCCAGAGTGGTTTAATACAATAAAAGGACAGGGCCAAAAAAATGTTTGTTTAGATTCTGGTTCTCTAATAAAGAATAAAAATTACACGTGACAAGATGCTGTTATATGAATTTAGCGGTGTTTTTGTATATGTACATGAAAGGACTAACGGAGGAGTTTTCAAACTTTTCCCAGCAGCAGGGAACATTGCTGTCACTGTCATTTTTCATACAGAAGTCACTTCAGAGATACTCTAGTTCCCATCATGCAACATGCCTTGATCTAGTTTGCCTTCAATTTGGATTGAGATTGCATGCCATGGTCAATAGACCCCAAGAGCCTCGTACCTTTTAAAAACGATGACTGCACTATGCTTTTATGATGTCTGGGGCTAATTAATGCTGACTATGATTTTATCATGGCTTTGGCTCAAATTAAAAAGGATTAATTTAAATAACCCCACTGTGTTCCAAAGCCTGCTGCCTCTTCTCTTCTAAAAGCATTAATTTCAAATTTCTACAGCACCTTCTCTCACAATGGTATCATATTCTGTAGTTATCCAGATGTAATGCACACCTACTAAGAAATACTGAGAAGTTTATCAGTGACTAAAAGACATATCCACTGTGAAGTGACCGTCACTGCTCTTACTGGGCACCATAAAAACTAAACAAAAAGTATAGGTGGGCCAAGCACCCAAAGTTCAAATCCAGCACGCACTTTCCCAAAGTTCATGGGTGTTTGAAATCAAGGTTTTGGCTCATCTTGGAAAAGAGAAAGGGTTAGATGCAAAGTTCAGATCCAGAGCCAATTTTTCCAGTTTGTTTCGATTGGGAGGTATGGTTCAGGCACATCTCAACTAAAAAACCCACCCAGACCTCACTGGCTTACAAAAGGCACTTCAGTTGTGAGAAACTAACTGGCACTAAAAAGAAAAGGAGTACTTGTGGCACCTTAGAGACTAACCAATTTATTTGAGCATGAGCTTTCGTGAGCTACAGCTCACTTAGTTACCTTTCATCTCTCTTACCTCCACACTTCTCTCTGGGCTGCAATTATTAATGTTTGTTAACATGTTAAAGAAGCTTGAAGATTTTGATGTGGCCTAGAGTCCCACAAAAATATTTCAACCAACAAAAACATACAAGTATTTGGAAATACTGGACAAAAAGGTAAGGAGATAAATAGCCTTTTATGTGGTAACCAAGGAAGAGCATCAAGGTAAGTGTCAGTGTGGTATGGAGAAAACATATTGCAATAAGCAGCACAGGTTGATTTGTTACTATATAAACAAAGGCTGGGTCTTTCAAAAGGGCCTCAGGGAGTTCTCGATGTATTGAAATTCAATAGGATTTGGGCACTTAACTCCCTTAGGCTCTTTTGAAAATCAAACCCAAAGGAATCAATGCTTCCATAATTTTCCATGTGTAAAAAATTACTCAAATTAAAAGAAGTTGCTAAAATTTTTGAAGTAGCTTTCTCTTTTTCAGCCTGGATTCAGAAAAAGATGCCTACCTAGGAAAGCACTTATGCACATGTTTAGTTTTAAGTATGTGCTTAAATCGCACTGAAGTGAATGTAAATTAAGCACATGCTTAGGTACATTCCTGAACTGGGATGATCATAATCACATGTTTAAGTTTTTTCCTGAATCGGGTCACTTCCAGCATCAAACTCTGCCTTGGTTCTCTAAGAGCCAGACAATAACTCACTGTACAGTTCATAAACATTTTTAGATCCAAATGTAATATTCTCATACGGTGTTACAAAGTAACAACATAGAGGGCACTTGCTTATTTAATATTTTATTTCTCAACAAACAGAAAGACATTTTAACATACCCAATTTTTTTATTTTTTTTATAGAACTAAACACATTATGTGACTCCCATTAAGTTACATATAGTGTAACTATAGAATATACTGAATCTTCCAAAAACTTCTAGTAGTAATCTTTTTTTAATCAGTCCATAAGCAGTTATTTGAATTTTGCCCTCTCTATTTTTGGCTTATGGATAGCCTTCCTAAAAACAACTGACAAATGGCATTAAAATGACAGAGCTTTCCTAAGATAGCTACATTGGATACATTTGTATTCATCTTGTTTTAAGCAACTAATGCTAATTTTAATGTCCTAACGAGTTTGGCAAAAATCTTTACAAAAGATAGACGTAAAAGTACTTGCAAATGAAAGCATGTAGCATAAGGGGAACCCTTGTACAAAAATCACTGCAAACCCTTGTACAAAGATCATTTTCATCTAAGTCATAAACCTGTGACCTGTACCTTGAGCCTTATCAACAGATACTGAACTGACTGCAGGTCCCAACAGATACAATCTTCCCAGTAGATTCTACCTCTATCCTAGGGCCAATTCAGGAAAAAACAATACTCAAGAGTCCTCAACCTATGACTTCCTTCTTCAGAGCTGCCCTGTTATGCAAGTCTAACATTTTAAAGATTACTGTGTTCCAAGATCCATAGAAAGCAGAACACTCACTCCAATCCTTATTAGATCTCCTCTATAACTAACTCAGAACCTTGGGAAATCTAATCTATTGTTCCCCTCTTTAGCAGCAGTTAGCTTCAGTAGCCTATAATGAAAAGAACTACATGCCAAGAACAACATTAATACCAAGTACATACGAAGAACTATGTTAACGTTGCATTAAGGTTGAAACTTCTACTGTGCTTCAAATGTACAGCTCCTGTTGGGGATAGTGAAGGAGATCACTGGCCCAGTGAGAGCTCTGGAAAACACTGTGACTCAGCCAGGCATAATGCTTCCTAGAGGTCCAGAGGGCATGGCTGCTGTGACAACCTTTTATCTGCACCTGGCAAATTTTATTGGTAGGTAGGTCAGGGTTTGTGTGTGTATGTGTTTGTGTGTCAGGGGGGGAGGGACAGAGAGTGCAGTTCACCTGCAAAAGGGAAAAAGCACAACCTTCTCCCAAGATTTTAGCTAGAACTGGACAAATAACATATTATTTGGTCCAACGGCAATTCTGACAATTCTCAAAACAAGTTTTGTTTCAGGTCACAAACAAAAATTTCCGGTGAACCAAAAAGTTGGAAAAAAATTCATTTCAGGTCAAACAAAATGTTTAATTTATATTTTGAACATTCTTAAATGATTTTGATTTTTTTTTTAAAATACAATTAAAGGAAATGGGGTCCACCTGGCCAAGACGGGGAAGAGCATCGTCACACACCAACTCACCAACCTAGTGAGATCTTTAAACTAGGTTCAAAAGGAGCAGGTGACAAAAGCCCACAGGGAAGCATAAAAAAGGGCACCCTTAACGGAGGACTAGATGCTGGGGGAGGGACATGGGAAAACTGCAATAGCGTCATAGGAGCAACAAGAGGAAAATCAGTTGGAAAAGTCTAATCAGCATCTTAGATGTCTATACACAAATGCAAGGAGTATGGGAAATAAACAGGAAGAATTGGAAGTACTAGTTAAGTAACCAAAATTATGACTTAATTGGCATCCCAGAGAGTCGGTGGAATAAACCTCCTGACGGAACAGAGGGGCATAGCCTGTTCAGGAAGGAAAAGCAGGGAAAAAAGGGAGGAGGTGTTGCATTATACATCAAAAACATGTTCTGAGGCCCAGAAAGAGGCGAGAGACAGATCAGTTGAAAGTCTCTGGGTAAAGATAAAAGGGGGGAAAATAGGGGTGATATCATGGTAGGAGTCTACTATAGATCAACAAATCAAGAAGAGGAGGCACTTCTAGAACAACTAATAGAAATATCCAAAACACAAGACCTGGGAGTAATGGGGGATTTTAGCTACCTAGACATCTATTGGAAATATAATGTGGCAACATACAAAACTTCCAACAAGTTCCTGG